GCAAAACTGGTCAAGGAAACGATTGAGGCGTTTGGTTGGGAAATACTTTCGCATGCGGCTTACTCACCAGACTTGGCTCCGTCCGGTTACTACTTATTTGCGTCGATGGGACACGTACTTGCTCAGCAGCGCTTCACTTCTTGCGAAGATGTACGAAAATGGCTAGATGACTGGTTTGGCTCAAAAGAGTATAACAATTTTTTTGGCGTGGCATCCACAAATTGTCAGACAGATGGGTAAAATGTATAGCTAGCGATGGGCAATACTTCGAATAAAATATTTTTTATCATTTTCATGTAATAAACGTGTACTTTCTATTAAAAAATTCCGATTTCATATTTACATACCTGGTACATGAGTATATATCATATTTTTGTAGTTATTCAAACTGCGCGCCGAAATTTTTCCGAACTCTAACTGCAATAATATCACAAGTTAAATTAAATTGACAATGTGCTGAAAAAAATCTTAAATAAATTTATTGCGAAAAATATTACCCGGGTTCAAGTCCCGACCGAGGTAATATTTTTCGCAATAAATTTATTTAAGGTGTTTTCCAGCACATTGTCAATTTAATTTAACTTGTGATATTATTGCAGTAGTTTAATTGCGTTAGATAGAGTCCGGAAAAAAATTTCGGCGCGCAGTTTGAATAACTACAAAAATATGATATATATGCATGTACATATATAGGTTATAGATAATTCACTTGGAATTGTTTAGGCAAAAAAGATCTAGCTTTGACCGTCATAGGCTTGAATATTATACTTAGTATTTAATTCTTGTCGGTCCGAATAAAAATCTTATTATTAACAATATTGAACCAACGAATATCTTCATGAGAAAAAAAAATTTTTTTTATAATCTCTAGAGGTTCGTGCTTCATATAGACTAAAATAAAAAAATTACAAAAATTTTTGAGTGAGTTATAGTCATTCAAACAAAAACATTTTTTTAAACAAAGAATTGTTGCAATTATTTATTTATAAAAAAAAAGTTTTCAATATGTTCTCTTTATTCTAGTCTATTTTAGGGAGGCGGTATTTTCGAACATTTTAAGACCAAAATCATATCGATCGCATGATTCAGAACTTGTACAGAACTTCCACCAACTTAAGGAGGTTGTAAGGCTGAGGCGGGCAGTGAGAGGGAAATGCTTTAATACAAAAGAAATATGGAGTGTAGCCAACATTCGAACATTAAAGTTTGAAGAAATAAATAGCTAAAATTTAAAGAAATATGGATTATAATGCAATTAAAATGCAAAAAATATTAGTGTTTATTTGTGTAAAAGTTTCAAAG